CAGAAGGGTATGGCTAGCTGATGAGAGCAAAATAGCTTGAAATAGATCTATACTAGTCTCCCTTTATTTCTTCATGGGTAAAACATAAATTCAACACAAAAATAGTTTGTCATGAAAGCGACTGCCTGTGAAGGCTACTGGATTGGGGCTGAGGGGCGAAGCTCCGTCCCATAATTGGGTAGACCAGGTTCTCTGATATACAGGCCCCACCAGAAAAAAACACTTTTACTTGAAAGTTAGCTATGTGTCTGCAAATACAGAAGCTGAAGTAGCAAGTAGCCATCTTATGTTACAGTAAAAATTGTTACTAAAGGGGCAAGGAGGCAGTTTATAAATATACTGCATACAACACACACACAGCCTTCTGTATTCTTTTGGGTTGTGGGGGGCTGACTCATAACCTTGCTACCTTCTTGAATTTGACTACAAAATCCCCAGAGGCGAGTTATGATTTTTTTTTCCTGGTGGATAAAGCCTCTTGTATTTAAGCCAGTTTGGATGCCATCACAAATTCAAAGTTAATTATGAAGATGCTACTAATTCCTCTCACCTCAATTTGAGACACCCAGGGGTGTGGTTAGATTATTTAGAAAGGTATGCTCCACCATTTGTCCTCTGGATTCTTGCCCAGCTTGGCTTGACTAAGGGAGCAATTGTTAAACCACTTCTAAAAAATACTGTGTTGCATCTCTTGGAAAATGTACACTTATAGTCTAGTCTTTAACATTAAATGGTTGGGTAAGGTGATCAAAAGAATTATAGTTATAGTTTCTCAGATGAAAGAGGTAGATTGCCATGACCCATTTTAAATTGACCTTAAAGTGAACTACAAGATTGAGATTACCTTAGTCATCTGAGGATATTTCTTTGGAGATCAACAGAGGAACTGTGATTCTAATAGTTCTTGTTTTCCCGCCAACGTTTGATACAATCAACCATGGTAGCCTTCTGACTCACTGAAGTGATCAGGGATTAGGAGAATTCCTTTTGGAATTGTTCCATTCCTATTTCTCTATTTTCCTCTTCAAGATATACATGAAATCATTGGGAAAGAGCATAAGAAATGCAAAGCTGGGTGCTATCAATTGGCTATTGACACCTTGTGACAAAGTCCTAGTTTTGATGTGGGATTACAGTGCCCCCTAAAGCATCTGGTAAATTCAGACTAAGCAGCCTAAATAAACAGAATTCTTGCCTCCCCAAGAAAAGTCTCTCCTAAGTAACCCCATTCATATAATATTACAACTGGGTGAAAACTAGATTGTTATTTTATCATTCCACACAAGATAACTAAGAAAATAGCATTAGTTCCTAAATAACTTCTGATTGGCTAGCTGGACACATCAACGATGTAGTATTTTCCTTGTCCAGATAAAGCAACAGTCAATGTCTCCAAAAAGACTTTCAATTTTCTACCATAGTCTATCAAACTGAAAATAATGCTCAGAAGAAAGGAGGGGAAAACCACATGAATAAGAAGAAAAGTTAATCAGTAGATTTCCATTTTCTTTCCAAATGGCATGTGCTGCAACTCAACAGAATATGCAAGGAAGGAAATGCTAAATAGCTTAAATAAATTGACACTTGATTGAATGTGTAGTTCTGCCATCCTTTTTTTTAACCTATTATACCTCTTTTTCCAATATTTTATATCTAGAGATTTTCTTTAATAAGAGGATTTCTCTCTAAATGCTTGATATACATCTTGCCATCACCCAGCTCTATGCAGAGAATTTTACAAGGAGTCAAGACAATATCCTCTTTCAATTTTAAGTTTCCCGTATTTTCCCATCACATTTCCCCAACTTTATTTTCTCCTGTTTCTAAGGAGAGAATGATGGATTATTTTTGAACAATGCCTTTGATATGTTGTTCTTGGAACCTTCCATCTGGAAACACTCGCCCTTTTTATTTCCCAAAAGGGAACCAGCTTATTGTGCCCATCAGGAACTAGCAACACACCATTCCGATCCCTTCCTTATTTCCCGTATTTTATTCATTTCCTTTTTCCCTACTTTTAAAATGGTCCAAGAGTTTCTTCTGCTGATTCATGCAATGAAAGGCATAGACTCACAAAATTTCAACACAAAATCCTTACTGGATTTATCTCGTTCTGGAGAAAGAGCAGCCCATAATTTGGAAATAATACCCATATGCCTAGTTATGGTTCTCTAGCAGCAGCAGTATCCTCAATAGACATCTTTCTTTTGATTGTAATAATATAGATGCAATAATATAGAAAATATAGATGTTATACCAGACAAGCATTCCCTTAAATTGCCAAATTTACATTATTTCAGACTTTAGGAGTTAAAACGAACAACTTAAATAAAACACAAAAATAATTTAACAAATGTACAGATCTTCTAGAATTTATGTGTGATGAAACTGATAATATGGACCAATCAGCCTGTTGTTACATTTTGCATCCATGGGAACTCCTCGGTGTGCTTCAACAGCATATAGCCAAAATTTGATATAGTCTGGGCATTGATAATTCCATACTGTATTGCCCAAACAGAATGAATTGGGGTGGAGAATTTTTGCATGACATACAGTAATACTGTATTAATACATCACTGATAATTTATTTAAATATAATTTATTGTTTCAATTATGTGACATACCACATTAAGCTATACATTACAATTTACAGCTTACACTGCTGTATTCAAAGAACACAGTAAGTCATTGATTAGTCATATTTGTGATATCATTTATAGCAGCTCCTGGAGTCATGTGGCCATTGTTGTACCATAATAGCAATTATAAGGAGACACTTTATCTCAATTCAGTGATCATGATACAATGAGAAAATATAAGTCACTACTGAGAAAATGCATATATTGTATGAACCCAACTGTACATATGCATCTCTTGCCATTTTGGTCTGTGGCAATCAGAAACAAGATTTTAGCTCTATCTATCTATCTATCTATCTATCTATCTATCTATCTATCTATCTATCTATCTATCTATCTGACTGTCACCATCTTGATTAAATTAAAGAACCAGTTCATGCAACAAACCTGATGGAGCATATCTTTTTCCAGATCAAGAAAAATCCCAGCCTCTAAACCAGATTCCATTCATCTGGCTGTGCCCAATCTAGAATGATAAACATTGCACTGTGGCAATGGCTGTGTACTCCAAATTTATCACTATGGTCATGTCATCCACATATTTCTGGAGTTCTGATACCATCATTGGAGTGCAGTGTACAAAGGTTGGGCAGAAAGCTCAAAAACTTTGGTTCAGTTTATCGGCTTTCCCATAACTCTTTGGCCCTTTGTGGAAAGGAGAAATGATGTGCCTGAGAAGTGCTGAAATCCCAATTCTGCATGGCAGATGATGAAGATGAAGAACTGCACAGCTAAATGTTTCCTGGAGGAAACTCAGTTTCAGAAAAGAGGAGACTCGGGTGAGGAAAGGGTTCAGTTATGCATCCCATTCAAAGTCTGGCTTCAGATATTCTCTTCAAGTAGAACTAATGGGCAACACCTGCTGTGACAAAAACAATTTCCGCCCCACAAGCCCAACAGAAGTGTTTATCTTTCGAATTAGAAAATGTTCCACTAAATATCTGAACAAGGCTCCAGGGACATGAACATATGCCCAGAATTGACGTTCCTGCGCATTAGAATGCTTATAAAAATGGGAACTGAGACGATGACGAAGGAGGAAGAAAAATATATGGTCAAACAGATCCTCCAGTAAAACCCATTAAATATCAATTACAACACTGTCCCACAAAAAACACTCATTTCCTGTCTTTCTTGCTTGTGGCTTTTTTTTTTTAATCCCAGGCTTACTGAGAAAGAAGTAATTGTAAACCTTTATTGTGCTACAATTCCTCAAAGCAAGATGAAGGCAGCCATTAAGTCTCTCTCACCCACAGCTCATTCCGGGAGATCTACTGACGCTACCAGAAAGAAAAGCATATCTGATCAGCATATCTCAAAGATGTAAGGCTGTTCTGAGATTACAACAGACAAAATCTTTTCCTTTGGAGTCCCAAGGAAACATAGATATTAAAAATGGACCTGAAAGTCCATATATTGAACTAAATAATACTCTGAACCCTTTGGCCCAGTGGTTAGAATGCAGTACTGCAAGCTAACTCGCTGCTCACTCCAGGAATTCGATTCTGACCTGCTCAATAGCAATAGCAATAGCAATAGCACTTAAACTTATATAACGCTTCATAGTGCTTTTACAGCCCTCTCTAAGCGGTTTACAGTCAGACCCCAACAATCTGGGTCCTCATTTTACCCACCTCAGAAGGATGGAAGACTGAGTCAACCTTGATTATTTAATTATTTAATGATTTTAAATTTTAATCGTTGTTTTGTTCTGTGTTTTTAAATAGGCTGTACACCGCCCTGAATTCTTCGGGAGAAGGGCAGTATAGAAATAAAATTATTATTATTATTATTATTATTATTATTATTATTATTATTATTATTGAGCCGGCGAGATTTGAACCGCCGAACTGCAGCTAGCAGTCAGCTGAAGTAGCCTACAGTACTGCACTCTAACCCAGAGGTGGGTTTCAGCAGGTTCTGACCCGTTCTGGAGAACCAGTAGCAGAAATTTTGAGTAGTTTGGAGAACTAGTAGTAAAAATTCTGACTGACCCCACCCCTTCTATTATCTGCCTCCCAAGTCCCAGCTGATTGGGAGGAAATGGGGATTTTGCAGTAACCTTCCCCTAGAGTGGGGTGGGAATATCCTTCCCCTGCCACGCCCACCAAGCCACGCCTACCAAGCCATGCCCTGCCCACCAAGCCACACCCACAGAACTGGTAGTAAAAATTTTTGAAACCCACCACTGCTCTAACCACTGCGCCATCTCGGCTCAGAGTCACTCAAGGGTGACTCAGCCTTCCATCCTTCCAATGTCGGTAAAATGAGGACCCAGAATGTTGGAGGCAATATGTTGACTCTGTAAACCACTTAAGAGGGCTGTAAAGCACTGTGAAGCCGTATATAAGTCTAAGTGCTATTGCTATTAGAACATGAGAACCACCCCAGAATTATATCAGGGATACAACATGGCTTCGTCTCACCCCCAATCCAGACTTTAAACTGTTTTTATTATCATTCTGTGCATCAAAACAAAAATAATTGATCTTCATTCATTTGGCTTTGTCCATCCCAGCTTCGATTTATCTAAAATCTACAATGCTTTTCTTCCACTGCATTGCAATGTGGTCTTTCTGCCAACCAGGTGGAGGAAGAGGAGAAAAAAAAACAATCCAGATCCTCAGAAGTTGTGGCTCAGGGTTCCATATTGGTTCACCTCCAAAACAGCACCATCATAGTCATGACAGCCTCACTCTTTTGAATTGCTGCAGCCATGAAAATAATAAACTGGGTCAAACTCAAAAACACCTTTAAACTAATATGTAGCTTGACATTTACAATATAAGCTGAACATATTTTAATAGTGAAAAGATAAGGATTGTAGGGGTTTTTTTTCCTTCCACCAGTTCTATTAGTAATTTGTGTCCTATACATAAAAACCATGTTTCAATTACAGTGCAAGTAATTCTTGACATACAACCATTCGTTTAATGACCGTTCAAAACTTACAACACTGAAAATGGTGATTCGTGACCATTGCACCATCCCCATGGTCACAGGATCAAAATTCTGACATTTTGGCAACTGGCATGTATTTATGATGGTTGCAATGGCCCAAGGTCATGTGATCACCTTTTGTGGCCTTCTGACAAGCAAAGTCAATCAGGATGCCGGATTCACTTAACAACCGTGTTACTATCTTAACAACTGCAGTGATTCACTTAACAACTGTGACAAGAAAGGTGGTAAAACGGGGAAAAACTCACGTCACAACTGACTTGCTTAGCCATGGAATTTTGGGGCTCAGCTGTGGTCACAAGTTGAGGACTACCTGTATATTCAAGAACAAGGCCAATGTATGATTTCACTGGATCCATATCAAAGTTAACATAAAAAGTCAAATATTAATTTGCATTTAAAAGTGGAAACATTCTTAGCTATTGTACCGGAATGAAATACATTTGGTGGAATAGGATAAAGACTTACCTCCAAGTGCACCTCCCCATATTTTTATACAAGGCAGTTTTTTTCAAAGCAGACCCTACTTGAAAATATTAGAAAATATTCTAATTACCGTAACTAAATTACTACAGTAAGGTTTTATTTGATGCTATATCTAGAAGATACACACACAGGGAAGCTTGCACAGGCAAACATTACTGGGTGTTTGCTTATGAACTTTCCACCTTCCACATGAATGTATGAATAGGCTTTCAGAAAATGTCAGCCAATCAATGCATTGTTCTGCCTTGGAAAATCCATGCTTCTGTCGACTCAAGATTTTGGCAGTACTCCAAGGTTCACAGACATTCTCCCTTTCCTCCCTTAAATACGCTCTCTAAGAATTCACCAATCACTTGACTTTTCTCCTCCAGTGATAGCCCAAAAGCTACTCAGAGCCAAGGTCTTTTAATGACTAAATCCCATTTTACCTGTTTAAGGCAAAATCAATATATTTATATTTTGAAGAAAAAAACTGAACATTTTTGCAATGTAAAGTAGCTGCAGAAAAAAAAAAGCATGTCTTCCATACCTAAGGAATTTAAGAAAAATTTACTTCTCCTCCTCCTGGCTATGCACGCATTTCACTGTGTAAGCAAAATCTTTTAAAAAGGTCGACGATGGGATTATGGAATACTACCAGAGCCTTGGTAGTACAGGGGTTTAAGGCACCCTGTTATTAAGCTTATTAAGACCAGCTGCCTGCAATTATTGCAGGGTTCGAATCTCGCCAAGGCTCAAGGTTGATTCAGCCTTCCATCCTTTCTAAGGTAGGTGAAATGAGGACCCAGTTTGTGGGGGCAATAAGCTGACTTTGTATAAATATACAAAAGGATGAAGGCTATTGCTGAGCACATTGTAAGCCGCCCTGAGTCTTCGGAGAAGGGCGGCATATAAATCAAATTAAAAAAAAAAAAAGATGCTTATTTATTTTTTTAGGAAATTTATATGGCTGCCTACTTGGTCACAGCGACTCCAGGCGGCTTACAAGCAATAAAAACACAGAATAGAAAATTTTAAAAATTAAAAACAATAACCCCATCCCCCCTCCCATTCCCAGAGATAGCCATTTTGATGGGCTCCATCCCACTCTGGGTTCTCCAGGCCCGCTAGCGAAACCAAATCTTCAGGGGCCTTGGCCTGCACTAATCTCCAACGTTGTGTGGCCGTTTACTAACCAACTCCTGGAACTGAACTTTTACTCTTCGGTGCACTGGTGTGACACTGTGTCATATTTTAATTATCTTGCTTTAGACTTGACATTGCATATTTACTTTAAAAGTTGTCTATCATACAATTGAATATGAGGGAACCTGTGTTCTGCTACAGTTTTATTTTATTTACCATGTTACATCACACGAGATGAAGAAATAGGGAACATTTGCCCGAGTGCTATCACTTTGTCTAGACATGCTGATTATCTGATGGAATCTAAAGCTGTTGCCAGAGAACAAGGCAATGCGGGGGGGGGGGGGGGGGGGGGGGGGGGGGGATGGATGAAGAAGTGAAGGAAGATAGGCCCTGTAGAAAAGAGGAAGGATAGAGGACCATTTCAAAAATCAGAGGGTCTGCTTTGAAATCAATAGTTTTTATCACTTGCTTGAATCATGCAACTTATCCTTTACTTTTTCTAATACTGTACTTCTATTTCTGCAGTTATTACTTTTGACTGCATATCACCTCTTAATCTTAAATTCAGCTGATCTACAATGTATTGCTTGCCATTTTCTTTTCTTCGTTTCTTCTCTCACACTGCATAATATTTATATTCCTCTGTTAACTCTTCTCCTTATTTTTCTTTTCTTTTTGTTTCCAGACATTCAAGGCTGGATATTTTCAGATCTCTCTCTCTCTCTCTGTGTGTGTGTGTGTGTGTGTGTGTGTGTGTGTGTGTGTGTGTGTGTGTGTGTCTCCCTCCCTCCCTCCCTCCCTCTCCCTCTCCTCCCCTCTCCCTCTCCTCTAAAGTACTGGAAATGGGACAATAAACTAAAACTAACAAAATGCCATTGTTTTTTATCCTGGGGGTGGGGGGGGGGTGGACTTCCAGAAGTGGAGCTGTACTTGTTTTAGATGGGACTTGTATTGCCTCTTAAGAAGCAGCTTTGTAGTCTGGAGTGGGGTCCTCCAGAAAACAGCACTGATACTGTACATGACTCATACAGCAGTGAATATTCAGTTTGATTAGAGTCCCTACCTGGAGGAGACCAGCCTAATTCATGACTCATGTGCTAATAATTTCAAGCTTAATACTTGCAATGCACTATTGGATGGGGGGGGAGGGGGAGGCTTGAAAACAGTCAGAAATTGTAGATGGCGCAAAATGTGACAGCCACACCAGAGCAAGGGGTGTTCAGTGGTCCTGCATTACTTCCATGTTAAACAACTGTGCTGGTTGCTCTTTTATGTCAGTTCAAGTATTTATGTCAGTTCAGACAGAGTATTACACCTTGTATGGCTTAAGCTCAAATTACTAATGTGAGCGCTTACTTCTAATGATCTCTGTTGTGGAACAAAATGCTACTGAATTTGAATCATGCCCCCACATTATTATGAAGCTTCTAATGCTATTATTGTAGTTTTCTGTTTTATACTCTCCATTATTTTAAAAATGTTAGTTTGACCCAGCTAAATGGAAGTGTCTTGCTGATCTTGACAGTTTTTGAAAAGCTAGACAGGGTTGGACCAGAATAGAAGGCAACAAAAACTACTGCTATATTTTTCCTTTAAAAAAAACTTATATGGATATGTGCACCATGAAACTTTCTTTAGCTCCAATGTTATTTTCATGCATACCTTATTGTAGTAAGGTATACTTGTATCCCCAAACAGTTAAGGAAATCAAAAGTATCAAAATCAATACTACTCACTCATATCTAACTTCATTGCTAACCTACCTTTGTCACTCTCTTTATTTTGCTATGTCCCCATATCATTATCTTTATCTAGTCCTCAACAATAAATGAGACATTTAAGATACCCTCAGCTGATCCAATTTAAAGTATTATTTTCCCCACAAACTGAAGATGCTGATGACATTTTTAACATTTGATACTCTTCACTGACTCTGGCTTGGTAGAAGAGTCTGGAGTCCCACCAAGGGTGAGAAATAAGAGAACAACATGATGACCCAGCAGGTTTATACTGAAGTTCAAAGCATGGGAGAAAGGCTGCCACCTCTTCATTTGCCAAGACAAATCTGCAGCCCCAACACATTTAATAGTACAATCACAATTTAGAACAAGTGCTAAGAAGAGATAAGATTTTCTACCTATCTCTCATTCCACGCTGACTGTGCAATTTAGGCCACTGCCCTAGGGCCTAGGCTGCTAAGTTTTTCCTCTCATATTTTTAGAGAACCTCTCCTCGCAATGGAGCTACCGTCACATTAAGGCAGGCTGAAACCAAATCAAAGTGATTCATCAGACAACCGGAGTTTTTTTTTTCCTTGGAAAACTAACTAAACCCTTCCTACAGTAAGAAAGAAGACCTACAACAAGCTCCTTGGAGCCCAGGAGATCACCACTCTTTCTTGCTGAGAATGCCTGCAAGGGAAGTTTTCTTCCATTTTTCTATGGAAAACATCCCTTTCCCGGCCGATCACCTTGATCTAGCATGAACAGAGGTCTAACTCCAAGATTAAGCTTCCATATGAGGAAACACACGCTCTCTATAAAATGCAAGAAGAGCATCTTGGAAGAGGACCAAGGCGGCTGTGCAGATGAGCTATGGGGGAGTAGCAGCATTTATCAAAATAATTACTGTCTCAGGGGCGAGAGGAAAGACACGGGTCACGCTCCGTGGATGCGCCCACAGTTCGCTGGGCTGAATGAGCCTATCGTGCCTCCGGGAAATGTACTCTCTGGCCTTTCGGGGAATGCGGTCTGGGGAAAAAAAAAAAAAAAAAAGAGCTTTCCTCGGAACACGGCAACACGCGCTCCCCGATCGCCGTTTCGGGAGAAGCAGGCGACCTCCAATCGCCCCCTCGCCTGCAACACCTCCTCCCCCCCTCCCCACCCCCCACGCCTGGCGCGCAGCCAGCACAGCCCGCTCCGTCCTTGGGGCTCACGGCCTCCGACAGCTGCCCGGGGAAGCGCAGAGGCACGAAAGAATGTGGTGCCACGGGGCGGCTCAGCGCTGGGCAGCGGCACGTCTCCGCCTCCCGATTGGCTCAGCCCAAGGGGTGTGTCGCCCTGAAGGGCGGGGTCGGAGCTGCAAAAAAGGGGAAGGGGAGCCTATCGCGCGCGCCCACGTGCTTTAAAAGCTATTGTGCGTCTTGCCTTTGACAAGGGTACCCAGCCGGTTCCTGCTTCCCCCCTTCCTGCTTGGCAGCCGCACGTGCGGTACGTGCTCTGCCAAGCCGCTCGCCTTCCATTTGAGCCGGTGGGGGGGAAGGGGGTGGCTCAGAGTTGCAGACGATCCCACCCCCCCACCCCCCTCCACCCTTAGCACAGGAGGAGCCGTTGCCCGTTTGGGTAAATTAAAAGAGAGGAAGGGACTGTTAGGGCGGTTGCTTGAGCCTGCGAGTGAAAGGGGGAAGATTTGATTATTGGCTGAGAGGGCGAGGCAGAAGGGGAGGTGCAATTACTGTATTGCTGAAACCTTAATGGGAATCTTAAGTCAAAGTGGCAAAATGAAAAGTGGATCGCTCTTTTTTTCCCCCCCTCTTATTGCCTTCCTTCAGAATCTGTCATCAGTTCGGTACCATGAAATAAAGTAGCAATATAGAGAGAATATGACCTGAGTGGTGGTATTCTAAGGAAAACATATTGCGAGCTTTAGGCATTTGTTCTACACATTAATTACAGTATTCCAACCCTCCACCCTCAAATTAGTACTAAAAATCACTTCCAACAATGTTATCTGTTCACATTGAAAAATAAGGAGCAGAAGTGTGCTTTGATGAATAGCATTTGTTATCTGCATGTCTGTTGGTTCAGAGATGTATCAAATTATTTTTGGGATGTAATTTTATATGAAAGGGATTTTTATCCACATTTTAAACTGGGACTATCAAATGAAGAGTTACTGTATTGTCCTATAAAGTATGTAATTATGTATTACTAAGGCATGAATGAACATTCTTTCTCCTTCACACTGTCAAAAATATTAATATGTTCAATGTCAAAAGGGAACCCCCCCCCCTTCATTTGAACCTATTTTAAGATGGGGCTTGCCATACTGAACTGATTGGCTGTCTGTTTTAGTATATGATGATTGATTGATAAAAATAAGCACCATCTGTGGGATAAGAACATTATTAGCTGTGCAGTTCAGTGAAGAACAAGCATCTCAGAGAGTGAGTTTATGTTATATGTAACAATGAGAATGTTTGAAAAATACACTAATATAGCCAATGGACATGTTTATTGATTTCTGTTGCAAGGATCACAATGGAGATACTGGAAATTGTGTTGAAAAGCTTGAAGAGATTCATATTAGGAATAATATCGTAAGTTCAAGAGGTTGTTACTTTCAAGAATAGACGTTGTAAAATCTTCCAGCACTAATGCGCTTACAGTTTATTTGGCACATACTATTTCAAGAACTCCTAGCTATAAAGAATTTTAGTTTATCTGAGCCTGCCAACTTAGAATTCAGACAAAGATGCCCTATTACAGAAGTGTGGAAGAGACATAACTCAACAAATTGATCAGGTCTAAGGCCTTTTTCCCACCCTCTTCAAACTATAGCATCAATCTCTTCCAATGTTTTGATAAACTGCTACCTGTGATTCTAATCCAGGAGGTGGCTGCAGATCAGCTATAAAACTATTGCCTAATTCTGGAGTGTTGGAGGACTATCTAGTAAAGCAGGCTGCTTTTCTGCATGGACCCCACTCCTTCATGAAACATCTTCAAAAAAAAAAAAGAAAGAAAAAAAGAAAGCCCAGTTGCCTCCAGAAAAAGCAACTTTGGGACAACCATGACCTGGATGACTGAAAATCTCTACAGACATTTTAGCTAATTTGGGATGAACACCCTTTGAATGGTGTGGGAGTAGGAATGGATTTCCAGAGGGGGAAAAAAATTTCAGACCACAGGAACCAGGAGCACTACTCAGGTGACCCTGAGGACACAGATAAACCTCCAAGTGCTTCAAGGACCCACTAAAAGGATGCAAATTACCAGCTGTCTACAAGGAATATAAATCCTTCCATTCCCCGCCATCCTGTCAGAGCTGAAGAAGCTTCTTGGATGAGAAGCGAAACATCTTTAAAAGAAAAAACAAGAACATCCAGTTACCTCCAGAAAAAGCACCTTTGGGACCCCCACTCCTTCATACCAATAGGTCTAACTTACTGTGAAAACTATCCACTAATCAGCATTGCTTTGTTGGGTAGGTGGTTTCCCATTAGCCAATGAGAGAGTTAAGGGCTTTGCATACCCTAAATCATTTCATAGCCATTCAGCAGCCAACCAAAATAGAACCATCAAGTCAGCAGTGAAAATAGAAAATTGAATGCCAGTTTAGTTTTCTTCCAACAAAAGCATGGTAGAGAGGACTTTACCTAAGCCATAGGGAAAGGCTTTCTACTTAAGTGTCCCGATGGAAAATTGCAGACGATGCAGACAGAAGATCAGAAGATGCAAAGAGAAATCACAAGTGAGGAATGTATAAAAAGCTGGTGGCTCTGTTTGCCTTGATTTCATCTCATTACTCTGAAATAAAGATACATGCAGTTCATCTCAAACCAGAACCACTCTAAAGATTTTCCTGTGATCCCAAACACTAAAAACATAATCAAGCAATTTTGTGTCAATCATCTGCCTATTTTTTTTTTAAAATATCAGATACGACACCTATTTCTTTTAATAACCATTGCAGAAGTGAAACTGGCAGGGCCTTGTTTTAAGTTGAATTATGAAATCTAGCCATTGGAAAATAATGGCTCAAGTGAATGAATAGGCCCAAAGAAATCAGAAATAAGGTACTTTCCAGGAATTTGTGATGTATCAAAAATCCTCCCTTTTTCCATCTTTTTTATCCATAGAAAACCTAGATTTTATAAATTGGGTGTTTTAATCTGTGTTTCGGCCAAAATATTTAATAATTTTAAGGGATTTTTAATATTTGTATTATCTGTATTTTATCTTGGCTGTTCACCGCCCTGAGTCCTTCGGGAGTAGGGCGGTATAGAAATTTGATTATATATATATAAAAAAAAGATATTTCTCCTCAATGTATTAGGGGCACCATCAATTTTCAATTGCCACACTGCTGTAGTTAAAAGGGCCACAGGACCACTGAAGTATTACAAATCCTCCAGACACATAGCAGTAGTTTCCCTTCACGGTCAATCCATTTCTGACAAATACTGAATGATTAATCAATCAACTAATCTATCAATAAAAAGTAGCAGATAGGGAGGCAGATTCCATCACTGCACTTTCCTAGATCACTTGGCACAATCAGACATTTTCAACTATGTCCTTATCTTTCACTCTTTCCCACAATAATGGCTGGGGACAATTTAAATTTACCCTTATGATCTCTTTAGAAATAGATGCCCACAGAGGTAGAGCACGTGTGCTTAAAACGTCTTTAAAGTAGGATGGGTGCATCTAAAAATGGAACAAAAGAAATTACCTAGCAGATGCCACCATGCCACTCCCACAATTACATTCTGCACAACATTTCCTGTCACTACTGATAAAATACCTGGGGCAAAAGAAGTTTCATCTTTTCCCAGAAATAAGATGCTGAGCTTGAATGTTGGATAACTGTGCCTGCACATGTATTACTGCCTTCTCAGTGATGATGCCCTTTAGCAATGACATTTGGGCTCCGGTTCATCTGGAAAAAAACAACAGTGTACTCTTTTATAGAGTGCAAAATTTCTAGTAACAATATAAGAATCCTGTAACTGATTGATTCATTATTACAATTTAATAATTCAATAATATAAAATGAGGAAATAATTCCATACAATAGTTGTGTAAATTCCAACTGCTGTAGGCACAATTCAACCTAAGATAAATATTGTTAATTTCACTGATTTCACTGGAAGAAGTTACATATACCATATTAAATATTCCCTGTAACATTTATCAAACTCAAAGGCTTTAACCTTATTTCTTTCATTTGATATAAGAAATAGGCAGCATGCCTTCGCTGTCACAATACCTGCCTTCTGGAACACACACACACACACACACACACACCCCGGGAGAGTCATTTGGCCCTGTTTTAAACAAATCTTATAAGTTGACTTTTTCCCCAAGTTTGGCTGAGCTCCCTCTTGTTAACGCTTCTATTGACTAGCTGGAGAAAAATGGATTGTCTCAGTTCTGCTATTTCTCTATATTGGGACCAACAAAACTTTAGTACAACTGAAGGTCAGTTTCAGGCTGGTTTAGGCAGAACTGGGAGATGGAAACATTTAAAACTATGCCACACGGAAGTACCCTTAATCTTTAAAATACCTATTTATTATTTTAAAAATAATAATATTCTCATGGCTACCACTAAGATCCAATAGAGAATGGTCCATTTATATATTTTCATAGAATAAAGGTTTAGAAATATTGCCATTTTAAAAAAAAAATCCTGCAGTTTATCCTAATTAACAATTACTTTAAAATTTCACTAGGTCAGGGTTCTGGATTAACAGTTAAAAGTTTAAAATTTGAATTCATACAATGATTGAAGATCCTTGTAATCAATTATCTACTTCTGTTTCCATTTCTTCTCTATGTCATTGTCCACTGTCTTTAAATGAATACACATCCACACTTGCATTTCATGTTTAAATGAATTTTTTTTAATGTAATTTTTCCTACTAAATGCATGAAGACAATTCTAAGTTATTTTCTCAATTTGATTACAAAGTAAAGACTTTTTCTAAACGTTCCCGAGTCTACAATACTTCCAGTATTTGGAATCTTT